CCTAGGTTTGTGTACACTGAATTTCAAACAGGATTCAATGAACCCTTGGAAAATGCACCCAGGCAAATTCACCCACCCCTATACACCATGTACCACAAACTGCTACATTAACAGTACATTACAATACAACAGTAACAACACAACAGTGCTGCTATACAGTACATTACATTCCCTAGACTGATGGACTCTGTCCACAATATTGTACATTCATACCACATGGAAACTTTTGAAGATTTCAGCATTTGTCCAATAAACACTTTTGCTATTTATTTTAACCCATACATATAAATGTTTTGAAAATGTATCATACATTAGCAAATGTGCAAGGTGCTTGTAAGGATAATGGAGAATGGGGTGGTTAATCTGATTGTGTCATTAGCTATGTAGCTTAGCTAGTGATTTATAATACTTCCGTGTGAACAAAGTTTTTCATAAAGCTTCAAGGGAAGTGCAACTCTAACATTGTAGCTGTGCCAGATTCACGGAACTATTTTAGATACCCATATAGTATGGCCCTGAATTGGGCATGAAGGACAGCAAGCAAGCACACACCCAAAAAATTAACCTGGCCAGTTAGACATAACCATATAGGCTCAAGTAATATAGCAACAATAGCACAAGACTCATCTGAAAAATAGCTGAATTAGTATTCTGCAGCCACTGTGTTATTTTATTGCTCTCCAAAGGCATAATTGCATTTATCAGCGTACAACACAAAAAAACATGTTTCTATAGCCCTCTGCATGAATATTAAAATTTACATTAACAGCTACCATATTATTGGTTTGCTTGTACCGTGCAGCAGAGTGTGCTAACCCCCCCCCCCTCCCCGGCTGCCAGTTACCCCAGGCTCCGCCTTCCCCCATGCAGGCCCGGGACCAGCACAGTGGGTCTCCACTTGATCCGAGAGAAATCAGCAAGCTTCTAGTGTCACTGTGCACATTATCTGGCTCCGGTAACCAGAAGAAGCAGATTGCTGCTTCATCAGCTTCTCTGGGGTCCCTGGGTGACAGGGGTCTAACAGACCCCTGATGTCTCCATAAAGAGGACCTGCGACATCATATTTGCTATTACAGAGGGGGCTTGATAGCAATGATAAGAAACCTGACCAGCTCGAGACGCTGACTCGAGTATAAGCCGAGGGGGGCATTTTTCAGCACAAAAATTGTGCCGAAAAACTTGGCTTATACTCGAGTATATACCGTAATTGTAAAAAATAAATAAAATAAAGTAACGTATAAAACAATTTTAAAAAGTGCACGCCGACATGACCCCATCTTTTATATTTGACCAAAAAATTGGGTATTATATTGTTTCTGTGCACTAAATTTTATTTTATTTTATCCTAAAAGTACTGGTTTGATAAACATTTCTTTTTATTCTATAGGGCTTCTGCTTTCAGAAAATATAGCATCGTTTGGGGGGTTTGAAGCTGTTTTTCTAGCCAAAAATTCAGATTTTATCATGTGCGTACAAATATTAAGAAATTGCTTTGGACAGCAAGTGGTTAATGACTAATGTTATTACATTATTAGACTTTTATCATGGCCCATATACAGTATATGTAATAGGTAAATCCTATATTCAGCCATGACTACAGATTGATGAAAAATGGAATGCAATACACCCTGTTTACGGCACCTTCATAGGCAGCTCAGGGGCCTTTTTAACAGTTGTGGCTGGGAGACAAGTGATTAAGCTGGTTGCTCGGACCGGTTTACTGTGACCCTGTGTTACTTGTGACTCTCATTACTGCTACCAGTGATCTCATAGCCTCTGCAGTATTTAGTCAGCTGGGGCCTGCACAGGTGTTAGAGGGCTGCAACCTGGGGAGATCTGGTAAATACCTGGCAATTAAACCCTGTGCCTCGATCACATCTAGGCCAAACATGTAGACATCTTAATCCCTACTCTTCCTATTTTCAATGCCTGGCAGTTCCACAAAGCCCAGAATCTCATTTCCTGGTGACTACAGTCCTTGGATTGTGACAGTTTGGAGTAGAAATGAGAATCTTCAACTTTCTTCTGGTGGGATGGCTTGGATCCCTGTAACATTTGGGATGTTTGCTACATCTTTACAGTGTTTATACTCTATCTGGAACCAAGTGGATAATTTAGTTACCAGAAGTTAAAAGATTGCAAGATGTTTTCAAAATGGACGAGCTGCAGAGCGAGTGACCTGCTATCATCTATCCAGTCTCACCAACAGACGTTTGCTACATCCTATATAGGGTGAATAAAGCTGGCCATACACTACGCGAATTTCGGATGGTTCCTCATGAACCGGACGAAATTTGCAGTGGGTGCCGCTGTCGGTACCCTATCAGCCGCCAGTTGGAAAATCTTCGAACAAACGGTGCTTGCAGCCAATCAGCTGCAAGCAATGTTCCTGTATTCTGACAGCGGCCGGCAGTTGCTGTCAGAATACAAATGAAACAGCAGGGGATTCATCCATCCATGGAGGAATCTGTTCTATCTTTTTTTATTCAGCCCATGGGTTAAACGGAAAAAAAATAGAACAGTGTATGGCCAGCTTAACACCATGTTTTCCAGAACGCTGCAGCCTACACACATGGCAGATACATCAATAGTGCTGTTTTTTTACAGTGCACATGTCCAAATATTATTTACGGATGGGGTTCAGCTTTAAGCAGAAAAGCCTGTCCCCTATCTACCTGCAGCAGCGGAATGGGATGTTTTTTCTCTGTGAGGAAGCAGTGACCTCTCTGCAGATGCCTCCTGCTGAGTCAGAGCTCACCAATCAGCAAGGGGCATGAGCTTTGCTGATTGCAAAACTATAGGTGTGACTGAGCAGAGGGCGTGTTGGACCTCTCAGAGAGCCCACTGTACTACATACAGAGAGCAAAGGTCCCACTTTGCAGGTGCTTGCAGGGGACAGGCTTTTCTACTCAGGCTGTAGCTTATTAAGAAACAAAACCAACTGTATAGCTGGCCATACACCTATAGATTATCTGCAGATTTTCTATGGTCAGATGGGAAAAGTGCAACAGATTCCTCCATCTACACTAAACTGTGTGGATGGAGGAATCTACCACTGGGCCAAGCTTCACTATCTTGCTAGTCAGCCCGCTCGCTCTCAAAATACCTGAACAGTCTGATTGGACGCAGGCGTTGTTCAGGTGTTTTGAGAGCGAGCGGGCCGACTAGCAAGATACTGATGCTTGGCCCAGTGGGAGGTTCCTCCAGCCACACAGTTTAGCGTAGATGGAGGAATCTGTTGCACTTTTCCCATCTGACCATAGAAAATCTGCAGATAATCTATAGGTGTATGACCAGCTTAAGACATTAACCAGTGTTTGTTTTGATACACCTGGAATGTATTTACTTTATTTAATCAGCGAGTTCAACTGGGCTTTAAAGAAGAAATCTGTGCCAAACTTTTATTAACCCTACCAATGGGGCTATCCCTACACTGCAAGGGATAAAGTGACATTAAAGCTGGGATACCCCCCCAATACTGCTTTAAGGACTTACCTTATGTGATGCCTCTTGATCCGAACAGCTTCTTCCTTCCACTCCTTTTCCAAAGTCCTTTCAGCGCTGGTGCCGGTCTCTGATCCAGCACAGACTCCTCGGGTCCCACTGAGTCTGTTGTGCGCACTTCTGCCTGCCTAGCTGCATCCAATTGTGTCAGCGGTGCTCTCCTTCACAGCGTTCGGGAGTCGGGACATCTGCAGCAGGAGGGAGCAGCGCTGACACAGGTAAGTTTGTTGGTATTTGACTTTTTTTTTTTTTTATGTTGGGACATATATCTACTGTTTACTAGCAGTAGATATATGCAAAAAAACAACAACTTAATTCTACTTTAACTGATGGTTTTCCTCTAGTTCCTTCAAGCCTCGCTCCCTCTCAGCTGCAGTGGTCTAAGGATCCTCGCGTCATCACGTACAAAACACTGAGGGGGAATTGGTCAAAACTGGAGTGGACAGAATCTGGAGCAGTTGCCCAGGGCAGCCAATCAGCTTCTCTATTCAGTTAAGATTTAAAAGTGAAAGAGAGAAGCTGATTGGTTGCAATGCACAGCTGCTCCAGTTTTGATAAATTCCTCTCTGTGTATTGCATGTGAGGACGCAGACAGAGAAGTGTGATTCGTGACTTCAGAGAATGTGTCTCCACTTCTAGAGTCCAGTGGCGGCGTGCTTTACACCATCCGATGTGTGCATCCGATGCTTTGCATTGCACTTGGTGATGTGAGGCTTGGGTGCAGCTGCTCGGCCATGGAAACCCATTCCATGAAGCTCTCTACGCACTGTTGTTGTGCCAATCTGAAGGTCACACAAAGTTTGGAGGTCGGTAGCTATTGACTCTGCAGAAAGTTGGCGACTTCTGCGCTTTACCATGCGCTGACCCCGCTGTCATTTTACGTGGCCTACCACTTCAGGGCTGAGTTGCTGTTGTTCCCAGTTGCTTCCATATTGTTATAATACCACCAACAGTTGACCGTGGAGTATTTAGTAGCACGGAAATTTGAATCCAATGATTTGGCAATATAGAACAATTTTGGAACATTCGTTCAATTCCAAAATAGTTAATGGGGGTCAAATCAGCGATCATTTTTCACCCATAGTGATGAAAAAAATTGAAGGAGTAGGATGGAAAATTTTTCTCAAATTAAATTCTGACAGCAAATGTGGTTTTCATTTCGAGAGATTCCATTCATGTCGAAATTGAATGTTAAAATTAAACGAACGAAAGTGAAAGTTCGTTGAAAAACCTACAATATCTATGGCCAGCTTAGAAATGACCTAAAACACTTTCCCTTCAGTATACAGTTATGACAGGCACCTCCGCCCTAGCCGTTCTCTCTCTCTCAGCCAAGTCACTGGGCGATACGTTCCTCATAAGTATTCCAAACCCGACGCCACCTCTCGGCCGGGTGAGTCAAGTGACCGTGAGCGCGCCCATTACGTTACTAAAATCCAGTCAGATCTAAACCTCACACGGTGAATCACCAGGCAAATGCTCTACGGCGCATGCGTATAGTAGTAATATCATGATTGCGCAATGGGCGCGCGCTGAGTGGGGAGCGCGCCGGGAATCTCGCGGGATCAGGTAGTGAGTGCCTTGGACTGGCTACCGGTGTAGGGGGGGTGACTGAAGCCTGCGGACTTCTCAAGCCCTTGGTCTAAGTGTACGTCAGAGCGGGGGGCTGCAGCAGCAATGTCCTCCAACACACCCCCTGGATTTTACCGGCAGGAGCTGAATAAGACCCTGTGGGAGGTGCCCGAGAGATACCAGAATCTGAGTCCCGTGGGCTCCGGGGCTTACGGCTCGGTGTGGTAAGTCTGGGATGCGGGTGTATGAGGGGTGCACCGCCGTGGTTGTCTGGCGTGCAGCGTGAGCTGGCTGCATGCGTGTGCTTGGTGCACCAGTGTCCGGGGCATGGCTGTGCGGGTCGGTGTGCATGTCCTTGCCCAACTCCTTGCAGCACTGTGCGGCCTACGTGCCCTGCAGCCAGCACTACCTCTTTCCCGGGAGTCCGGGACGGAGAAGGCACACTTCTGGCCCGTGCATTGCATTGTGCATGCTTTCGTTAGGAGAGAACGGGTAAAGTTTGACGACATCGCTGTTTGTCATTTAGATTGCTTGTCATTGCAGCTGTGCCAGTCCTGCAAGCTGCGGCCACCTAACTTTCTTTGCACCAAAATACTTTCCAGGAAGAGCCAGTGAGTGGACTGCGCAGGAGGAATGGAACAACAACATGAGTGCAGGAATGTTGTGCAAGCTGGCCATACGCTATTAGAACTTTTTAGTTAAGGACTGAAAAAAAAAAAAAAAAACAGATTGCAACATATGTGGTGTTTAGTGAATCCTCTGCTGCAGCTATTCCATTCTGACATCGCCATCAGAATACATAAACAGTGGCTGCACGCTTTTAACCCGACTCCTTGGGCAAAAGTCAGTTCACTAATCACATTTTGCGGACACATTTACCCATTCCTGTAAAGCGGCTGAGATTCTAAAGCTGCATTATGCCAATTTAGAAATTTGCACAGTGGGTGCCACTGTCGGCATCCCTAGATCAGCTGGTCGGACAATCTTTGCACGAACGGCCGCTGTCCGATTACAACGAACGGCCGCTGTCCGAAACAGCGGGGATTCCTTCCATGCTCTTAACTGTTGATGGAGGAATCTGTGCTGTTTTTTTTCCAGCCCGCTGGTTATGGCAAGCCTAACTTCTGGGACTTTCTGTGACACAGACTCTGCAGGACATCATGTTTGATGTCAGTCTTTGATTGTCCCTGACAAATGGGGGCTGTCACCTGCAGATGTTTACAAAAGTGTATTTCTTAAAGCTTAACCCTTGGCACAAAAAAGCTGGTCCTTTAGACCCCATTCACACTGAGCTACATCAGAAAAAGATTTTGAGTGCTGATTTGAGCTGAGAAGCACGATAGCTCTCCACAATCCTAATAATTTTAGTGGTGCGGTAGTACACCAAATGTCAGAATTTTCAATATATTCATGCGTGTGTGGGTAATATGTAAAGGAATCTGTCATAGCTCTGTGGCTAGCATCTCTCCTGAGAAGTGGGGGAGTTTTACAGGTAGAAAAGCTATTTAGAGAAGTTGGCAGACTGAAGGAAGCATATCAAATATCAGTTCCAGAGGAACTTGGATACATTTCATGCAGGATTGTCTCAAAGCTGTGCCACAATAATTACACACGTGCCACAATCATTTGTTTCAAAAGGGAAGAGGTCTTATTTACCTCCCACTTTCCATTTCACCGATATGGTGGCATTTCTAAATGGATTTGACCCAAAATTAGCACTATACACTAAAAGTGTCGAACTATGTATTTATTTTCCCCTTTTGCACGTGTTGGTACTAAGATTGGAATTGTGGCAGGGTTTGAACTAATTTTGTGCAAGGTTTCTGACTACATACACACCCCAGAAATGGGTCCAAAATATCTTATTGTAGGGATGCACTAAAATTTCAGCCGCCAAAATATTTTGACCAAAAATGGTACTATGGGCAAAATGTGGATAGTACCAAGACAGACAAAAATGCGTCAGTGAATTCAGTGCATCCATAGCTCCTCTCCCCCCTGCTGGACACTGGTCTGTTTCCCCTCTGATGCTCGCTGCTCTCCCCCGCCTGTTTTGGCAGAGGCAGCAGGGATTGGGGGGACATAGACCGGAGCCCAGCGGGGAGGAGAGAAGCTGTCAGGATCCTGAGCCGGGCGGTGCGGGAAGGAGAGAGAGCTGTCAGCTGTCCCAGGAGGCTGAGCTCTCCTCCCACACGCCCCGCTCAGCCTCCTGTAACAGGCGAGTCAGGATGGAGAACAGATTACAAGCACTCAGCATCAGTACTGATCGCTGAGTGTTTGTAAATAATTGAGACCATAGTATGCTTACTGTGTCCCCAGTTATGAATAAACAGGAAGTGCTCTACATCACTTCCTGTTCATTCATGATTGTGGACATATTAACTGATACTATCTCTAAAGTTTATGAATGGACAGGAGCACTCAGTATAGAGTTCTCCTGTTCATTCATAATAGAGGCTGCAGAAAAAGAGGACTCTGTGTCCTTGATCTTTTTCTATTTTAAAAGGGAAATATCAGGGGTCTGTTTGGACTCTTGATATTTCCTCAAAGACCCTAACGATAAAGTAAAATTAAATACATAAAATTTTTAAAATGTTAAAAGGGTTGGAAAAAATAGTAATTTGTTTGGTTTCAGCCTGACCATGTAATGCTCTGGACTACAAATCCCAGAGACGTCAAGCTTATCTCAAGGATGAGCCCAGCTGTAAAGCTTGGCAAAACTTTAATTTCTATTTGTTGTCTGTTCTTGCAGTAAACTTCAAGGAAACTGACCCAGTAGCATTAAAAGTACAAAAACCTCCATCTCTCTTGCAAATTTATGTGTGTCTGAAAAAGTCCACTAAGATATATCGCAACACAGACCATTCTTTTTTTGTTTTCGGTGTAAAAATGTCATTTTAGTGCATCCCTACTCTACTGTATGGCACCTATATGTTACTTGTAGGAACTTTGACAGGTGTAATTATAGCACCACCCCATTGTCTGGTCAGCTGAAAGACATGTTTCTGCTTTTCTGCTTCATTCATTTAATCAAAAATCTTCCCATAAAATTGTAGTTGCATTTCATGTATTTTATACAAGATCTTTCCTATAAAATCTTATGTAGACAGTTGGAAGCCCTGAGGCTTCTGCCATTAAAAGTACTTTTATCATTTAAAGTGGAACTTCACTCAAATAGTGAAGATTTGCAATGTCATAGGAAAATTAGAAAGGGGAATTGTGCCTGAGCAGTACCCTAAAATTTTTTTACACCTTGTCTGAAATTACTCCTAAAAACAGCAGGTTTAGTACCCTTTTGGGGTAATTTTCCTTCAGTTCATGTTCCAGAGACTTAACAGGAATTTTGAGGAAATTTACCAAAGTGAAGGGAATTACCTTTTTCGACAATTGTCCCCACGACAAGGGATACGTCTAAAATGTTGGGATTTTCCTTCACTTCCTGTTTCACTGGCAATAGTCACCAGGACAAATAGTGATGAATCTCCTCAGTGGGGACACAGACACAGACATCCCAACTCTCCCGGACGCTCCGGGAGTCTCCCGCTATTAGAGAGCAACATTTCCTCCCGTAAAGGTTTACTCAGAGTAAACCTTTCCCGGCTCTTTTTGTTTTTTCTGACATCAAAGACGCCGGCCGCTGTGAGTCTGAAAAAAAAAAAAACGGTTCAGGGAGAGTCCGGCCAATCACGGGGAACCCCACTGCTCTAGAGATCCTCCAATCACAGAGCTAAACGGTAACCAGCTGACCCCGCACATGTGACCAAGAAGTGGTGTAGGGTGCGGCCATATTTGTTTCGGGACCAAGCATGAGATCTCCCGGAACTGATTCTCACATCCATTATCGCTCTCAGTCGGTGTTCGGATTGTTTGCATCTCCTATCAGCAGTAACAACACAAAAAATCCCGCGGAAGCTGGGTATGATATGACTAAGAGAGTGCTGGTCCACAGGAAAATGGCCGCCAATCTTCACAAGGGCTCATTGGCCTCTGGCATCCATTAGAAGTGGTGTTGTGTGGTGACGTCATGGGGCAGAGCCAAAAAGAATGCGGGAAGTTCAGGTATGGATCGGGCAGGGGAGGGGGTCACTACATAAATTATTCCTTATAATAGAACATACATGACCTAATCATCTGTGATCATGACATGGTACATGTGTGATGGGGAGTGCAACTGTCAGAATATTTAAAAGAAACCCAGCAGATAGCAAAGAAGCTATAGCTTCCTCTGCTATCTGTCACCATTTCAGCGGGTGGTCTAACCCCCCCTCCAACCCCTCACCCCACGGATTGGGGGGCAGAGGGCACCTCCCTGAAATTGCTTTTTTCAGGTTGGGCTCCCTGCAGACAGCAATACAAACTGCCGCTAATTAGCTTCTATCTTTCATTTTCAAAGCTTAACTGAATAAACGGAAAAGAGAAGCTGATTGGTTGCTATGGGCAACAGCTCCAGATGTCCCAGTTTTTAAAAATGTCCCCCATTGTCCCTCTGACTCCAGAGATTTGGAGTGAGATTTGGTGATGTCACTACTGTGATGTGCTTCTCTTCCCAATACTGGTGACTAGTTTTTTTTGCCCTCACCTTTTTTGGGGGGCACAGCTCCCAGAGTTCAGTTTCTTTTTTACGCTCAACTCCAAAGAAGTTCATCAGTAATTCATGCAGTTATGTATTCATCAAAATAGTTGAGGTCATTTACTAAAAATCTCATAGATAGAGATAGATATATAGATATAGATAGATATATACAGGTGAAACTCGAATAATTAGAATATCGTGCAAAGTTAATTTATTTCACTAATGCAACTTAAAAGGTGAAACTAATATATGAGATAGACTCATTACATGCAAAGCAAGATAGTTCAAGTCGTGATTTGTCATAATTGTGATGATTATGGCTTACAGCTCATGAAAACCCCAAGAACCCCAAATCCACAACCCCAAAAAAGTAGATAATTTTTCATGCAATCAATAAAACAAGGATTGTACATAGAACAATATCGGACCTCTGAAAAGTACAAGCATGCATATGTACTCAGTACTTGGTTTGGGCCCCTTTTGCAGCAATTACTGCAATTACTTTTGCACGATATTCTAATTATTCGAGTTTCACCTGTGTGTGTATATATATAGTTTTACACACACAGTATATGTCATGTGTGTGTATATATATATATATATATTTTTTTTTTTACAGTGCTTTGGTGTTAATATGTCATAAATATCATT